TAATTGCACTACTCACCTCTACTACTGAGTAAGGAGATGGATTCATGAATGGAGTCAGAACAATAACCATCTCTCTTTCTTCAGGTGTGATAACAATATCCTAACAAGAAATAAAAGAGTAGATGACTATACTTTGCCTGCCTTATGAATATATATAATTCACATAATAGCTTCTGTTGAATTTGTCATATTTATAACAGAAGCACACTCATAAATTTTGTGATTGCTAGTCTGAAAACACACGACAGTATTCATTGCTTTATTGTGGCAATCATGGAGCTATTTTTCTTTTCATTCTATTGTGTGTAACCATAGTATTGACCTTTTCAGTAAATCAGGATATCAAATATCAAAAATACTCTTTAAGTTAACAAACAAACAACATTTTGTGATACAACAAATTTGACGGTAACCATATAGGCTGGTGTCAATGACCGTAAATTGACTGGAGGTACAATTTATTGCAAAATGAATAAATTCAGGGTATTTCCATTGATAAATTGTCTTCTACTTAAATTTACATATGGTGAATAAATCTGCAATGAATGATTAATACAGAAGGGGGTTGAAATTAAGGCCAGTGCATCTGTCCCAGAAAAGCAGATTTTATGTCGGACAGGTAAATATAGAAATGTGAACAAATCAATCAAGTTTTTAGTAACTGAACCAATGGAATAGCCCCAAGTTGTTGATAAACAAACAAAAAATGCTTTCAGACTTCTAAAAAAATCTAAAAAATAATGATGAAGCAAAGATTAAAATGTCATTTCAAATAATACGTTGTAATTTATCTTGCTTAGGACAATTACATCATCCATTGGGGCATGCACATTTCTTAAACCTATACAACAGACAGGCACATTTAATTTTTAACTTCAACCCCTGAGATGTGCACACTTTATCACTACTAATAATATGAACAATTCTATCACATAAAATACAAACACAAAGTCAATACAGTATATAATGAGGTCGTTTCCATTTGTTCATACCATTGGACAATTAAAAGACAGTCATGCACTCAATTACAGGCTTTTGCTATATTATGAACAATATGGACAAGTAATTAGGCAGCAATCATGGGGAATCAATTAATACTACTCTTAGTATGGTATGGGAATGGATATTTGAATGGCTCGGTTCATTCCTGATGCATGCATGCATGCATTATACATGTCAAAATCTACGCATAGCAAAATAAATGAATATGAGTAAAAATGCATTTAAATAGCGTGGTTGGGACCACTACTCTTTACATGTATAGGATGCAAATACAAACCAGTTGTGGTGTTTCAGTCACATGGGTGGCACTAATATGTTGGCATTGAGCACATGAGAGTGTTTGAAAGTTGGACAGTTATTACCGAGTGCTATGACAAGCACATCACAGTCTACTACAAACATGCACATTCATGGCACATCTTGAATAAAAAAAATTTACAATATTTTTTATGGTGTGTAAATAAAAATAATATTATTAATAGTTTATTCTGTATATTGCCTCACTCCGAGTTCATTTCTAAGGTGAAATATTTGATGTCATGAATATGTATGAATAGATCATAGATACAAAATGGCCGCCGAAATGTTGAAAAAACTGAGAGAAGGACAAGACTTGTTTTTGGTACTCAAATAATGTTCCATTTTTCCCATCATCGTGTTAACTGTTCTATTCATCTACATCTATGTAATCTTGATACCTGGGTATTTGGACAGCGGACAAAATGACGAGATTGAATGAACAAATATTTGGGAGGTAAAAACAAGTCCTACGACGCTCTCAATCTTAATAACAACTCTGCGGCCATTTGCTTTTAGGGATTGGTATTGAACGCCAAATTCATTTTTGAATGCAGGTGAATCGTTTTGGAACATGATGCAAAAGTACAACAAATCAAATTAGCTGTGAAAATGTTTGCCAACATTGAGACATCATTGAAAATCATTGAAAAGTTACGTTTCTCACAACTCAGACAATCAAATATTTCACATTATAGTCCAAATAAATCTCTGTTAATAATCTGAAAAAGCAGATTTATAGCTAAATCCTTGTCTTTGTTTTCAAAATAAACTTTTCTTTTCAAGATGTTGAGGTACATTTAACTGTTGATGCGTGCATAGTATATCGACTAACTTTCAGAGAATGACACCACTCTTCATGGGAAGACAAAAAAGGACCTCCGCACTGAAATACAAAGAATAACCATGAGAGCAAAATATAAAATCCAGTCAGAGTTTGTTGTGTATGGTGAGCATTCAATTCATTATGAATGATAAGCAGCCAATCAGAATTCATTATGAATGATAAACAGTCAATCAGAATTCATTATGAATGATAAACAGTCAATCAAAGTTCATTATGAATGATAAACAGTCAATCTGAGTTCATTATGAATAATAAACAGTCAATCAAAATTCATTATGAATGATAAACAGTCAATCAGAGTTCATTATGAATGATAAACAGTCAATCAGAGTTCATTATGAATGATAAACAGTCAATCAGAATTCATTATGAATGATAAACAGTCAATCAGAGTTCATTATGAATGATAAACAGTCAATCAGAGTTCATTATGAATGATAAACAGTCAATCAGAGTTCATTATGAATGATAAACAGTCAATCAGAGTTCATTATGAATGATAAACAGTCAATCAGAATTCATTATGAATGATAAACAGTCAATCAGAGTTCATTATGAATGATAAACAGTCAATCAGAGTTCATTATGAATGATAAACAGTCAATCAGAGTTCATTATGAATGATGAAAAGTCGATGACAGTTTGATATAAAATGTGAGGAGTCAAGCTGAGTTTATTGTGAATGGTGAACAACCAATCAGACCAGAGTTAAATATGACTGGGAAGCAGCCAATCATAATTTATTATTAATGTTGAACAAGCAAAGTTCATTATGCATATAATAATGCACAGCCAATCGGAGTTTATTGTAAATGGTGAACATCCAATGAGAGATCAATATAAAAGGTGAACAGCCAATCAGAATGTAATAACCAATGAGAGTTAATTATGATTATGAATAGTCAACAGCCAATCAAAGTTCATTATGAATGGTAAACTGCAAATCAGAGTTCATTATGAATAATGCATATATAGCCAATCAGAGTTGAATATAAATAGTGAACAGCCAATCAGAGTTGAATATAAATAGTGAACAGCCAATCAGAGTTTATATTGAATGGTGAACATCCAATCAAATTTCATTATAAATGATGAACAGGCAATACGAGTTCATATTGAATGGTGAACAGCCAAACAGAGTTCAGTATGAATAATGCACAACAAATCAGATTTAATTATGAATGATAACAACCAATCAGAGTTTAATATGATTGTTAAACAGCCAAACAATGTTCATTATGAAGGAAGAACAGAGTTTAATACAACAAGTGAATAGCCAATCAGAGTTTAATATGAATAATGAACATGAATGGTGAATAGCCAATCAGAGTTTAATACAACAAGTGAATAGCCAATCAGAGTTTAATACAACAAGTGAATAGCCAATCAGAGTTTAATATGAATAATGAACATGAATGGTGAATAGCCAATCAGAGTTTAATATGAATAATGAACATGAATGGTGAATAGCCAATCAGAGTTTAATATGAATAATGAACATGAATGGTGAATAGCCAATCAGAGTTTAATATGAATAATGAACATGAATGGTGAATAGCCAATCAGATCATGGATGATGCACAGCCATGCAGTCAGAGTTTAACATAAATGAGGAACCAACCTATCATAAAATAAGAATTCACTATGAATGATGAACAGCCAAGCAGAGTTCTTTATGAAATGAACAGCCAATCAGAGTTCATTATAAATGACAAACAACCAATCAGATTTTAACATGTATGAACACCCAGTCTGGATGTATCATTGCACCTTAATCTTTCTGGCAAAAGACTACTCTTTGACTCCTGATGCTCTTAGTATTGATCGACCTTAACCCTGTTTGCCAGCAATTCATTATAAGACTCTTTATTAAACAGAACAACAATGACATTGATAGTGCCATTCTGGCTGAGTCAAGGGTGGATCTTTGCACATCTTCTGGTCACTGCTCAAAGAGCATCCCAGGATGTTTCCCTGCGACCCACGGTCAGTGACAATGTCCAATATGGTTGATTCAATGACCCTGTAGCTGTTCCATGTTACACTTTCAGTACAGGCTATCTTCCAACTTAGATAAGATGGATTTGCATTAGCTTGGGTAGGATTATCACACTATTCAAAGAACTTCTTCTAACATGGGCTGAACACCTTCTGAGATTAGTCACCATCTTGGTAGTAGTGTTGGCATTTCTTCAGCCGCCACCTAATGAGCTGCAATGTGCAGTGCTACTTGCCAACTGCACAAGAAAAACACTAGCCGTGGCTTCAGGGAGAAATAAAGAGAATTCTAGGCCTTCTCGGAAACTTTGTAGACTAATCACCTTTTAGAGTTACGAACCAGAGACAAGATTAACCGGTTTCCATGTTCCTGTGCCCTGTTTGTGTACTCTGCACTATCACAGATGCACACAAGATCAGTCAGTCTCAAATGTTCATTTGTCATGCTGAAGGTAAACACACTCTGGCAAGATGTGACACTATCAAGGCGGGCCTTGAAGGCAATCAAGAGTCAAGTGCCCAACCTCCACCTCCCTCACCCTGGAGACGAACAAGACATGCAAAAATGCATGAACTGAAAGATCTCTTAAGCATTTGGTGTTGGAGCATCTGATCATGCTATAACTCTGGGTACATGAAATCAAACAATACTTTGACTGTTAGGGCTAACTTCTACATGTTGAGCTTGTTCAGCTCATTGGTTTTGTTTTGCTAACACCTCAGTTGTGGACAATTTAAGTTGTATTTTGCATTTGTTTATAAGATATGATAGGATCTGATTCATTGGTCAGTCAAATTGACATTTCCTTGTAATAATATTTATCATGTCCACCTGTTGCATACCTTCTTGACAAGATATGCAATTTACTAAGGTTTTAGTTAGAACCTTCATTTACTTTACATTTATTATTATGCGACAATTGTGTTGCATTTGCCTTGTGTAACAGGTCTTTTTGAACAGCGCTGCATGCAAGCCAAGCTTATTTGTGAAACTCACCCACATTTAATTATAAAATTACAACAAATAGCGACAGTGACTGGCTAGTGCTGACATAAACTAAAGGAGCTCTACCCGAAAAAAGACCAACAGCCCCCTGGTTTAATCACCACTGCTAGTCATTTATACCATGCACACCTCCCCAGGCAGCCACTTTCTCACTGATTACCCTGTTTGGTCAAAAACTGGTGAGTTCAAATCTAACATTATCCGAGGGTTTACCCAACATGCATTGTGCCGCAAGGTCACACAGGGTATCCTCAGGTCATATTCTCAGGTTACAGTTTAGCAGCAGATAACTATACTTATATTTGATTATTAATCAATATAATTAATTAATAACAAATAATGTAAAGTGAGGGCTATTGATCTCTCATAATTTATTATTACTTATTTTAACAATATTTTGATATGTGAGCATATTTACAGTGAGGAAATTGTAATTTTATATATTCACATAAAATTTATAGCAGATAATAGCAGAAAATGGCGAAATGAAAACTAAGTTTTTGTTGCCTTTACTATACTTTAAAGTACTTTATTTTCACTTGGAATTTATTTTCGCTATTTTAACTGAAGAGAGGAATCAGCGAAAATAAAATCCGGTGAAAATAAACTTCATACAAAACAGCCAAAATGTATTTTACAGCATAGTAATCTTAGATATACAAATCATGTTATCTAACCTATGGTAATACAATGAGAGCGCGGTTATTGGGAAGCGTTTTGCTTATAAACCGTAGCGAAGCATTACTTTCCATGCCATAGGCTACTCACTAATCAAGGATTGGAAAATACTACATACCGAAATGGGGTTCTTGGACTGTATCTTATTTGTATTATGACATACCTCAATATGAGGGTACCTTGGATACGCATCCCGAAAATCAGTCAACGTCAATTTCTGAGAGACTTCATCCACCAAATGCTGCGGTATATTATTCATGTCATCCACTTTCAGGAATACCTAAATATAGACAAAAGGTATCAAGTTGATGATTATAATTCTATAAAGTTCGAGATGAGTGTGCCATTTTAAGCTACAATAATGCAGTCCTTGATTGCTCATATGGTTTTACCTGCTTTAGAGAGAAGACAACAATTTGTAGACATTAATTTCTTATATAAACTCTTGAAGAGTTGCTTTTTACTATCTAAACTATTTTTTAATGTTCTTAGTAGACAACTCTGCGATAGTTAGTCTGTTCTGTCAGGCATATTCAGAAAAAAACACTTTTAAGATACATGGCAATTAACACATCATAATATTTTATCTAGATTTGTCAAACTCTGTTTTAACATTTTGTTATTCATTTTTTGCAGGGCATAGTCCATTCCATTCATGGGGGTGGAAAATAAGTATTACACAGGGGATAATAATAACATGGTAGATTATTGAAAAAAAAAAATACTAATTTAAAAACAATTTTCTCAATTTTAGCAAGTAAATCTTGTTTACAATAAATAATGACAGCAGCATATATTCACCCAGATTACCACGGAGTAGTTACTGGTCTTGTATTCGGATTAATATTCATTTACATATTTATGGTGTCATAAAATTACTCATTTCAGTCATTCAAATGTTAAAATATTTTTAAAATCAAAGAAAGCTTAGAAAGAACTCCCGTGTGCTGAGAGTATTGGAGACACATTAAAAATTAATTCAAAATTACTTGTACTTGAGATATTGATGGAATAGCTGAAAACTAATTATGTAAATCAGGTAACTGATATGAACAGATTTAAGTGTAAAAGTAATAATGTCTGCACAATGTACCAAGTTTCATTGAAATGTGATTAGAATAAAAAAAATATTAAGTTATTATGCTAATTAGAGAGTTAATATGAACAGATTTTAACCCAAAATTAATCAGGCCGTCTATTGTCCTAGAGCATTTATGTACCAAGTTTTATTCAAATGTGATGATCAATACTTGAGATATCAGTATTAATTAATTATGTTAATTAAGTGATTAAGAAGCATACATATTTACCAAAAACTAATATGGTGTATAGTCCTAGGTTCATTGAAATGTGATGAGTACACTCTTTAAAAGTTTCATTGAAATCCAATGA